ACAGACACTGCTGCCTTAAAAAAAAAAAAAAAAAAGAAAAAAGCATAAGGCTAAAAATATCCAAGAATAGAAATGTTCTGCCTGGGGTAGGCTCAAGCCCTGAGCCCTGCTCCCAGCCAATGTTAAAATCTAAACCAGAAATGAAATGGCATCAGTTTTAAAAGTTAAAACCCCAAACTCCTCGTGGGTCCCCTCTATCCCCGGAGGGTGCCGGTGCAGGGCCTGGGACGTGAGCAAGCATCAGCAGCGGGGAACACGCACAGCCCAGGGTGCTCACTTCTCTGAGCCTGGTCTCTTGAGCAGGGCACTGTACTTGAGCGGGACGCCATCCGACGTCAGCATGACCTCCACCAGCGTGAAAATGGTGATCACCTTCAGCGAGGGAGAGAAAGACAGAGAGAAGGGTTTTTTTCAGGTGGCTTGGCATCAGACCAGGATTTGCTTAAGAGCTGTGCTGGCTTTTGCTGCCTCTGCTGCGGCACCCATCAGGATCCAGGGAATGGGGCAGGACAGCTTCAATTATCTCTGTTAGGGTCCAGCGTGCTCCTGGAGCTGAGGCTGGATGCAGCATCTTCAAGGGCAGTGCTGCTGGGCTATGAAGCCATCCAGGGAATCCAAACAAGCCTCCCAAAACACCTCCTCACCTATCCAGCCTGATCAGGCCCCTGGTCTTATTCTCCACATGGTCCGGGAGGAGATTGGGTGATTGTGCCCATGGCTTTGAGTCCCAACCTCACCTAAAGCCCACCCTTGTCTCCCCTCTCTAACCAGAGAATGCACATCATCCCTTAACGAAACGGCTTGGCCAAGTGCCAGCAGCGAGCTGCAGCCAGAATGGTTTTCCACATGATGCTGAGCATTTTCTCAGCATCCTGCAAGGAGGGAACAACCCCCCCCTCTGCCTGCACAGAGAGAGGAGACCCCGGGAAGGAAGCACAATGGACAAGAGAGACACAAGGAAATAAAGACCCTGGAAAATCCGCCCCTCCTGTGCAGGAACATGCCGCCACCTCCCCAGTCCTCTGGCTCCATCTCTTTGTCTAATTGCGTGGGTTAGAAGTGCAAAAGCATCCCAGGTCTATCCACGAGGCACGGTTAACGGAGAGGCTGGGACACCAGGAAGGGGTTGCCCGGGGGCTGTGGCTGGGCTTTTAGAGACTTGGCTTACCCGAGCCTGTCCCCAAGCCCTGCGCTGTGGCAGAACTGGCCTGCAGGAGGAGCGGGCACGCAACCACTGGCGTAACCTTGTCAAAACCCTCCCAGCTCATCCAGCGCCAGCTCCAGATTAGTCATTTAGAGCAGGAAAATCTCATTGAGACTTAAACGTATCAAAGTGGCCAGCGAGGAGCAAACCACAGGGAAATCCTTTTGCAGACGGCTGCCCAGATAGCTGCTGGCTATCTAGCACTGACCTCCTGCCAGCTGGGCATGGGGCAGTGGTGATGGGGCAGCCCCCCATGTCTGGGGGAGTTAAATGAGGATTATCAGGGCTTTCCCTTAGCAATCCTGCCTCATCCTTTTGCTGACCCTCTGGGGAACAGCACGATTTCACATCCAGTCCCCCAAGTCTTAGATCCACTTCATACTCGAGCCCTGAGTTATGCCCACTGAGGTCCTGGCCATTGCCTGGAGCTTGGGGAGAGATGGGGGCAACACCTCCACTCCGTGGCAGGGCCGGCCAGTCCAGACCCCCGCATGGCTTCCCGCAAACAGCCTTCCCCGAGGTTCCCGGTGCCTGGCTGGGCTCAGCTAAACCGGGAAGCAGAGGCTAAGCGCCAGGGCCAGGCAGGGAGCTGGGGGTGCTCGGTGCCACGGGGTGTCCAGGTGACATCTGCAGCTCAGCATGGCTCCCAGGGGATCCAGTTCATCCTGGGGCTGGAAATCTATTGACTCAAGGATCTGCTGGCTCCGAAGACAGCTCAGAGCCTGCTCTCAGAGGAGGGCTCTGGTGTTTTCTTATGAGGCGTGGAGGGTTCGTGGAGGATTTTCCTCTACTGCCAAGTGTTTGCTTAACCAAAATGGGTCCTGCTCATGCTGGGGCGTCATTTTTCATGCGGGTCCCTGCTCGACTGTAAGTGATACCAGCTCCTGTAGGAAAGGAGGAACCAAGGCCACTTCAAGGCTGCGTCCAGGGGGCTTTTCTGAGCCAAGCTGAGAAAGGAAAGCTCAGCTTCAAAGAAGGGAGGTCTGCAGAAATGCCTGCAGCAGACCGGGAGCTTGGCTGGCTCTGACCACAACATCTCCCCTGTGAAGGAACAGACTCCCCAGGACATGCATCATACCAGCTGGGAGGGTCAGCCCAGCCCTGTATTGGGAGTCCTTTTCATCCAGCCCTGGGTAGACAAGGATGGGTTGTGCTGGGCTTGCCTGGTAACAGGGTTCAAGTGCAGAGCCCCTGGAGCGCGCTGTGCAGAGAGAGGTTGGATTCAGCCCTCCCGTCCCTGCCCAGGCAGCAAGCAGGGATCACAGCAGTCAACACAGCTGTGATTTTATAGCGAAGCCAGACATAAGTTGGCAAAGAAGCACCACTTAATCAAGCCAGACAAATGTGATTGCTCTCTTTGATTGAGTTACCAAGTTAATAGATGACAGGGACGCAAGAGAGATTTCTAGATGCTGTTAAACCATTTGACACCGCATGTCAGGAAGTCTGACCTAAAAAATTTCTCCTAATTGGGTCTCAACCCTGTCAAAGGGATGGAAACAAGAAGGAAGGGCCATGCCAGTGAGGGGGCAAGGAATGCCAGGATGAGGGGAAGGGTCTAGACAGGCGCTGCCTTAGGCCTGATCTTAACATCTTAATTGATGATCTGGAAGAAGGAAGTAAACAGCATGTTAATTCAATTCCTGGAGGAAACTGAATTGGGTGGCAGGGCACACAACAGGCAGGGCAGAGTCTGAAGGCTGTGGAGGGGTCAGATGTGGGGGCAGCAGTGGGATGGAGCAGAGCTGGATGGCAGAGGAGGTTGAGGCTGAGGACAAGCTCACTGGGGAGGGGACACAGAGGGACAGCAGGACCTGACAGCCTGCGAGGCAGTCCTGCCTCCCGGAACTGGCCCTGAGGAGACTGCAGGATCCACATGTTGCACACAGCTTCCACGCCAGCCCCATGGTGTTGTGAGCCTGTCCTGCGCTGGGGGGTCTTACCTGGGGCACAGATTCCTGCTCTGGCTTCTCCGGCTCCCACATGAGTGTCAGCTCTGGCTTCCTCCCCACCTTCTGGAAGTGGAAGCCCAGCAAGGGCAGCGCCTGCAGGCAGGGAGAGTGTTGGGAACAGCCTGACAACATCCCCTCACTCAGCTCTCCCCCTCCACTTTGCCTGCACATGGGGACGATGCTGCTTTCGCCCAGTACGCTGCCTCTGCAGCTCTTTAACAACCAGGATGCAGCAGCCTGTGAGCCTGAGCCTAGCACGTAAATCAGGGGCTGCTGTGATACACAAACAGCCATATATCATGCTATATGTCCTGTTTAAAGATGTCATTGCTAGCCATATAACCAGGTTATTAAGAGAAGATGCTGTCACTAACCGCAGGTGCTGGCCTACAGTGGTGCTGTCACAGCCCCAGATACACCGTCTGATTAAGAGAAATGAAAATCAGCCTTGCTCCCTTTCCTCGCTTCAGCACTGTGTTGATCTCTGGCCCCCTGAATCTGCCTTTATTCCCTTTTACCTGCACTAGATCACCCCCAGCACGTAGCAGGGAGAAGCTGGTTCTCAGAGACTGGGCTGCTCCAGACCCCCCAGACCCGCCCCCCTTGCCAAGGGACGCAGGGGAAACCCATGAAGGCTCCCTCTTTGCTGGCTAGCCTGGCTCGGGCGCAGCTCTGCTGACTGCAGGGCTGGCACAGAAGGGCACCAGGACAGCCACTGCCTCTGATGATGCCAAGCTGCTGCAGCCCTCTCTAGTGAGGCAGTGTTGGCACGATCTCGCCCTGCTGAGGTACTTACATTGCAGTAGATTCGCTTCTGGACTCCAAACTTCAGCACCAGGACATCGAAGGCCTCGTTCAGGACACCCATCACCATGGCCTCTGACTCCAGAGGACCACACTCCTACCAAGAGACAGGGCTGTCACTACACCAGCATCTGCATCCAGCCGCCCCCAAGGGGAGCCAGTGTCTCCAGGCCCTGGAGCTCTGGTGGAGGTAGTTGCTCGGTGCATGCCCTCACTGTTTGCCTCCCCCAAGGCCAGCTGGGCAGCCACACAGCCCTCTGTCCGGTGGCATTTAGGCTGAGCCTTCATGGGGAAATCCATGCCTTGGGGGAAGATAGTCTTGGCTCTTACCCTGACAAAGATGGCAAAGAAGAGGTCAGTGCTGAGCTCCTGCACCCTCTTGGAAGCCATCTTCCGGTCATTGCAGTGATCTGCCTGTTTCTGGATGGCCTCTTTCTCCATCTTGATAGGGGAGCTGGCACCTGGGAAGGGGACAAGTGACAGTGACATGCCCATGCTCCTTCCTGCTCCAGAGCCATGCCATGGCACCCTGGACCCACATGCCCAGCTCACCTCCGTGTGCCTGTTATTTTGAGGGCACCCACGTGCTAGGGAGCTGCCCCATGAGACACAGACCCCAAGCACCAAGCACCCATGGCAGCCAAGGCAGAAACCCACGAGTCCTTGCCTGTGCCAGGCACAGCCACCCCCTCCCCTCGCAGCACCTAGTGCTGCTCCGTGAGCGGCTGGGCGGCACCCACCAAGCGAGGCAGAGAGGAGACGGTGCACGATGACGTCCGCGTAGCGGCGAATGGGCGAGGTGAAATGCGTGTAGAAGGGCACGTTCAGGGCATAGTGGCGAAAGAGGGTCTCATCCTCCAGGACACCGGTGCAGAAGTAGAGAGCCATCTGAAAGGGGTGAGAAGCGACGGAAGAGTGTGAGCAACGATGGTGGCAAGACCCTGCATGAGGCTGGAGGGGTCTGTGTCTGCTCCAGCAGCCGATGGTCCTTCATCTGCTGCTCAGTTCGGGCTGCGCAGGGACAAGGCAGGCGCTGCAGGAACTGAGCACAGTGCAAAGGAGGAACAGCCTCTGCAAGGAGCTGTTGGCTGCCAGCTGACTCTGCCTGGCCCCAAGGATTGCATCAACTTTCATGTAACACATGGGTTTAAGCAGTCTCCTGCTTCTGCTCAGGCCCTGGGGTTCATTTGCCATCCCCCCATGTCCCAGGGGAGAGCCCAGTCTGTCCTGTGCCCACTGCGGATGCTCTCCCAACAACGGGTCTTGCAGAGCGGCTCCCATGCCAGGCTTTTTGGTTCTGTTCCAGCTCCAGGCTCTGCACACCCATTTCACCTGCCTGGAGAGCATGAGGGGCTGGGATGAGTGGCTCCTCCGTTCACCGAGGAGGAGGAGACAGCCCTGCTGTGATCCCCGCTGTTTCATCCCATGAGGAGAGCTGGGACACTGAGCGGCTGGACTGCCCGTCTAAACCAACATGCCCAGCAGCCTCCTCATCGGGAACCTCTCCTGGCTGCGCCGCCCCTGTTATCCCACATGTTACAGCTTTTATTTTTACATCTGTGAAACACCAGCCCTCGGGGCTGGGAAAACAACGGGTACTCAGCCCAGGCGGGGAGGGGAGGCTGTGTGGGTCAGGGGGGTTGTGGCGGGGTCATGGCACGGTGGCGATGGAATGAACCCATTTAAAAATAAGAGCAAGTGATTTTAAAAAAACAGGAGTAGCCAGCTCTGATTACAGAGCCGTCCTGGGATCCATGGTTTGGGCAGCTGTATCCTCTGCTCTCCAGCCCAGCGGCACAGCCAGGTCCTGCTGAGCAGCAATGCACTGATCCGGGCAAGTAAATAGAGCAGGTTAAAAAAAGCAGCATCAGTCCCGGTCTTATTATGAGACCCAAGAGCTGGGATAGGAGCTGTGGCGGCTGCCAATTTCCACAACCCAGAATTAAATTGTTTCTGATGGACTCCATGAAGTACGGTCTCCACTCAATTAGCTCGGCTCCCACCGAACAAGACTCTGCGCATTTGGGCAGGGAGACACGCCGAGTGCTGGAGGCTGTCGTGGGAGAAGTATCTGCACCATGTATCCTGGTGCAGACGTCAGACAGCATGAAATTACAGGGGATTTCTAGGCACTTATGCCAGGGTCCTGGGCAGAAGGGAGGAAGGTGCCTCCAATGCCAGGTAGGTGGAGAGCAGAGCACAGGTTAAAATCCTTGCTACAAGAAAGCCCCTGGGAAGGGCTCATCCCTTCCCTATGCTCAGCAGTGCAGGGCAATCCCTGCCTCATTTCAAGTTAGAAAAGATGCTGGAGGTCCCCAGCTGCTTGCTGTTGTCTGAGGCACTCCTTCCTGATGAATGTGCTGGCCAAACCCAGACGCTGGGTCCAGCACCATTTTTGACACCCTTTTGGCAGCTCATGACTCCCACTGAGGCACCAGCTTGGGTATCATAGCAAAAAGACTCCTCTGGGCTGTAGTAAGGTTACACTGCAGGGAGTCCAGTCCGACACGTATCTGATACCCATCCTTGCCACCATGACAGTGCTAGCCAGTGACATCAGCCTGGCATAAAGCAGATGTTTTCTCATTAACAGATTTGACTCACAAGTGGTCTCAAGTCCCCAGGGTTTGCCACAATCCCCAGAGAACCACAAGAAATAGATCAGCCCCAGCCAACCAGGCAGCTTTACTCTCACCGACAGATTGAATCCCCGAGTGACTGAGCCCCTGAAAAATGGTATGTCGCTGTTCCTTCATCTGTGACAAGGCTCCTGCCATGGCAATCCAGGCGCTCTCCCAGACACATGCATTACCAGTTGCTTCCCATCTCCCTCCTCCTCCAAGATGCCGATGTCTTGACCACCAGCATGCAGTGAAGACGGGAAGACGCAGACTTGGCGCAACCATGGGTTAAACCTGTGGGCAGCTTCTTTTGGTTGATTTAACTGCAGCCTTGCCCCTGAAACACCAGCTTTATCACTGGGAGCTGAGATGTGTGCAGGGATATGGGTGACGACTCGGTGCTCTGACCAGACAGTCTCACCATGCCATCTGTCAGAGCGATGGCCCAGCCCTCGACACCGGCACGGGCCCCGGCATGGCTGTGCTCTGCAGCTGCCAACGCTCAGACCTGCCCTCTCCCCCAAGAGGGACCATGACATCTGGGGACACCGGCAGGATGGGGCTGATTCTTCCATCTGCTCGAATACTGGTGGAAGACAGCAAAAAGTCCTTCTCCCAGGGAAAGCTCCTTCCACCCGGTAGCTGTCTGCCCTTTCCGAGGGGCACTGACACAGCTTTAAACCACCTGTCCTCTGCATTTAGCAGTAGGAACAACGGGGGGAATCTGAACTGCTCAGGATTTTGGGGAGCTGTGAGCTCACCCCACAGCAAATGCGGTGACAGACCAGAGACTGCAGAGAGCAACATTAGCAACATTGACATCTCTCACCCCCGCAGCGCCATGGTCCTTCCTTATGGACCGGAGGTCATGCGGATCCACTGCTGCGAGCACATCCTAGGTCAGATTGGAAAGTGGCCCTAAAAACAGGAGGGGAACATCTGCTCACCTGGCCGATGGCTTTGGGCAAGTCTGAAACTCCATTTACAAACTAAGCAACAGTTCAGCAAATGGCCAACTGCATAAGCTTATCCCAGGATCAAGACAGACTTCTGCTTCTTCTGGCTCATACGCCACTTCCAATAATAACAGCACCCCATCACGCACAGCAGTACCATCCTGCTGGGCAATGCCAGCAGACAGGATTGCTGGCAGATGGGAATGCTGCCTGCCATCCAGACACGGGCTGCCCTGCAGGGCCGGTGGTCTCAGCTGTAATCTGGGTTCTTCCTACCATGGCAGTGTGCCAGACAGCAGGTTTGCCAGGCCTGAGTGGACTACGCAGCACACCTGAACACATGGGAACCTTGGTCTTCTGATGATGAAATGAGTCTAGTTCCTGACAAAACCATGTCTCGTGGAATACCTCCTTTAAAAGTTTCTCTTTTTTCTTCCCCAAACTCTGTCTGGTATCTACTCTGCAGAAGATTCATCCCCAAAACCTTGATACCTCTTTGGCATACGGATCTAACATTCACAGGGCTAAATCTTTAACAAGAACCACTGGGAGGTCTCTCAAAGCACACCACCTCTCTAACCACAGCCTCAGGAGACCAGAGAGGCAAAATCTCTGCAAGTCAGTGGGTCCCAAAAAGCTCATCTCCCACTTGTTGCCACTGCAGAACCGAGTTGCCTTCTCCTTGCTCAATCCTCCTGGCCAGTAGCCAGGCTTCCAGGTTTGCTCCACATGCTGCTGCTGGCAAAGCCCAGGCTTGTGCCACAGTCAGCAGAACCAGAGAGGGACCTCAAGGAATTCATGTCACCAGTGCACCTTCCAGCAGATGTGACAGAAGGAACCAGGACAAGACAAAGCAGGACATGAGATCTGGGAAAACACAGCCAGCTCCAGAGGACACTCCCTGCACTTTACAAAGCAGCGCTCCTGAGCTGGACACATACACGAGAGGGTGATTTACTGAACGGCTTCAGTCCCCAATCCCACTTGCAAGCAAGTGTTAAGTCACTGAAGTACAGCAGGACTTCAGGCAACTGCTAATGAGTAAATGGAGCAAATAAGCTAATTAGAAGAGTGACAGTCAAATGAGTGATATTGGGAAGATGATTCATTCCTACAGCGATAAGCAGGCCACAGCAGAGAGAACATTTCAGGAACGTGCCCCTTCTCCCTGTGGGGCAGAAATCCCTCAGAAGAGGCCCAGTTGCAAGTGTAGAAAGGCACATGCTTCACAAAAAAATTTTTTATGGTGATAACCACCTGAATAAGTGTCCTGAGCTGCAGATGTACCGAACACTACATTCAGTGTGAGCAGCACAAGCCTCCATCACAGAGACCTTCACAGCAGTCCTCTCAGAAGGTCTCTCGGTCTGGAGGGAGACCAAAGGGTTTCCAGAGCTTTCCTGCTTCTAAGAGCCTATGTCTGGGTACCAGACTGTACTTATGGCCAGTCCCACACCTCTACATCATCCTCACTCTTGGTTTCTTCTTTGGACCAGTTAGGATACCATGATGTGAAGAAATGGCACAAACATGAACCACAGAGCCCACCACTAGCTCTTCACAGAGCAGGCTGGGTCCTTGCGAGTCTGCTAACATCTTGCATGCAACTTCAAGGGTGAAACATCCCAACCGGTAATAACAGGGACATTATGGAGGGGCGAGGAAAGACTCAGCCTGACCCTGCCATCCAGTGAAGCTGTGTTGCCCAAGGGATACCCCCACTGCCAGCTGCATGGGGCTCGAGGCACTGGGCGAAGCTTCTGGCAGCCCTGCAGCACCATGTTCAGTGTCCATTCACTCTCCCTCTACGTAACAACCAGCTATAGGAACGCAGAAGGGCTGAGAGTTGAAGATGTAGCCACAGCAGACAGCTACAGCCAGATGTGTCTGACAGCACAGTGCTTTCTCACCTGCATGGGCCTGGAGAACATGTTGATCAGCACTTCTTTCCTGGCTTCAGAGTATTTGTCAGCACCAAATGTTTCATTTAAGCTTTTCTGGAGGAGAAAAGAGAGACAGCATTCAGTCTTGGCAAGCTATGGTGGTAGGGAGACCCAGGCAAACCTTACTGGGGCGAACAGCAGCTCGCCAAAGCCAAATTCCTCCTTTCCCTGCAAATCCTCTTGTAAGCCAAAAAGCTCATGTGAAATTGGTCTTTGCCCTGGTCCCAGCGGCCCCAGCAGGACTGCACACACAGTCCTTCTGAGCACTGACTCACCTCCTGGGGTCAACGGCAGGGAGCACCCAGGGCACAGGGACCGCTGGCTCCGTCCCCATACGTGCAGCGCGCGAGAGTGCCCATAGCCCCTCTCCTGACCTGTGCCTGGCTCTCATCCAGCTACTGAGAGCTTCAGCACACGGATGAATGGGACTCTGGGGAGACATGGATATGGGAGGTCACTGCCTGGGTCTAGTGGTGAGGAAGGGCTGGAGGGTTCAAAGTGCAGGAGAGGAGCTGAGTGTGCAGCCCCACGTCTGCTGACATAGCCTTGGCGCAGGCAGCAAGCCGGGAAAGCAGTCCCAGCTGATGGAGGGGCATGCGGGAGGCCAGCGGGGATGGGATTAACAGAGGATTATCCACAGTCCAGTTGCGTTGAGTAAAGAAAATCCTGGAACCCGTGCTGTGCTGTTCAGCTGGAGTTCAGCCTCGGGACACGCTCAGCAGAGGATCGGTCGGATACCTCCTGCGCTGGCTGCACCTGACCTTTGCCAGCACCACTCTCCGGTCCTTCCCCGCCACCCTGCTCCCCACCCTGCCCTCCCCGAGACCTTCAGCAGCCCAGACAGAAACACCCCCTTGCAGAGCTACTTTTCCTGTGGTACAGAGCAAACGCCCTGCCAGGACCTGCCGGGAAAAGGCAGAGAAAGGAAATCTGGGTGTCCCAGCGAGTGCTTCTGCACTGAAACATCCTTCCCATCGCAGAGAGGGCAGCACTGGGGCCACTTCCAAGGTCCTCCCTGCCCTGCTCTAAGCTCTGTGCACAACATGGCTGACCGGGACAGGCTGGGCCACCCTTGCCCAGCGCTGGTGGGGTCAAGAGCGAGTGAGGGAGGTGTTTTGTTCTGGCATGCGATAGTTTGTCAGCTCTGCTTGGGCAGAGGGGGACAAGGAATAAACCACACGCTGCCACAAACATGCCGTCACGTAGCTGCCCACCCTTCGGCCCCACGGCCCGGCTCCCCGCCAGGCCAGGGCACTCACGTGCAGGGTCCCGGCGCTGCTAAAGTCGATGTTGAGGCCGACTTGGTTGCAAAACTCCATCAGGTCTTTCAGCAGTTTGGTTTGGGGTGGGGGGTGGCGGCGAAGCAGGGCCTGCTCGGGGAAGGAGCGGTAGATCTGATGGGCCACAGCCATGTTCGCGAGCAGCATGAACTCTTCCACCAGCCTGCAGCATGAGAAAAACAACCCCGGGCCTCAGGTAAGAGAGGGGAGTGCCCTTGGGAAGCCAAGCCAGTCCATAGTGATGGGAACTGATACGACATGGGGGGAGGGGAAGCAGCTTGTAGTTGCTGTTTTAAGAATAGATTAGATGTGAGACTGCAGCAAATCCTCCCCCCAAATTCTCACTTTCTAGCTGAAGTTTCCCCAGGGACTCAGGGCAAGCCGTCCTGCTGGCACAGACAAGCAGAAGTCAGTGATAAATTGACAGCTTAAATTAGGATAAAATAATCTCCCTTTAGGTCATTTTATCTCCTGAAACGCTCGACAAGCAAAACAAACGCTGTGCAAGAGATAGCACAGAAAACAAACACACATTGCTGTCTTCCCAGGCCAGAGAAAACAGCGTCTTGCCCGTTCCCCCATCCCAAGCTCGACATGTGTGGTCAAGCCCAGCCACCGAGCCCTGCTTCATGCCGGGCTTCCGCCCAGAGCAAGATGCCGCGCGGTCCCCGGGCAGGGCGAGCCAGCAGCGCAGCCCGCTGCAGGGCTGCCTCCGGCACCCAGGCGATGCAAGGACCCTGGGGGCTTCTCCACGCAACCTGCAGCGTGCTGGGGGTATCCCAGGCTGGGGTGAGCCCCCCACCTTCCACCTCTGAACGTACATGCGTTGAATGGAAATCTCCAGGGCTACACAATGCAAAGCAAAGCAATCCCAGCGCTACAGGTCATCTTTGGAGCATTTATGGGTTGTGCTACCAGCTGTAGGGCTGTGCCACAGGAGACTTGTTTAACTGGGCTTAGATAAGCAGAGAGATGTGCTTAACCAGGCTTCCTGCTATTTGCTGCATGTATTCCCAGGGCTCCTGACTGGTGCTAATTGCCAAAAAAGATAATAGATTTACAGAAGTAACCTCATCCTCCGAGCAATGCCCAAGCGAGCTGTCACTGATTACACCAGCTCGGCTCCGCCGCTCCTGCAGGCAAAGCAGTGATTTTGCAGGGCTGGCTGGGGAACCAGGGCCGGAGCCGGTGGTCCTGCAGCTCCCAGCCCCGGCCATCACTGGGAGGACTGGCCAGGTGAGATGCACTGCTGCTGTGCTCCTGGGGTACGTGCTACAGCAGTGATACATTCCCAGCCTGGGAGTACTTGCCAAGAACTTGAAAGAGAAAGGAAATAAAGACAAACCCAGAGGAGGAATAAGCACCTGATAGTGATAAACAGCAGTGGAAACATTCATCTTTAATGGGAAGGAGCTCCTTTAATAAGAGCCTCGTGGGTTCTCCCAAAGCGTGTTGTGCCAGAGGCCAATACCTCAGACCCCGCAGGAAGGGCAGGAGAGACCCTCGCACATGCGCAGCGTGGGATGGGGTGGGGAGCAGCACAGCCCAGGTGGGAATGGGCCACCCATCCTGTCCCCTAAAACACTTGCCGATGGGCAGACGCTACGCGAAGGCCACGGGCTGAGTCAGGGCGTGGGCACGGTGCCTGCAGCCCGGGAGGGAGCAGGGTCAGCACACGCTCCTGAGGGGCGACTTCCAGGAGGGTTGAGCCAAGCTCTTGCTGCTCCGGTGCAGCTACGCCAGCAGATGGCAACATCGGTCCCTCTATGGCCACCGGCACTGGGGGGCTGTGGGACAGCATGGCCCAAGGGTGCTGGGCACCCCGGCTGTGCAGCACCCAGGGGTGGGAAGCAGGGCAGAGAGCGGCACCCAGTGGGTTTATGGCATGGCCATCCCCATCTCCTGGCTGTGGGTGGACCCACCAGCTCTCACCCGGCTGCCGTGCTTGCAGATGGCACGTGGGGAACAGTGGCCTGAAGACAGGCGCGAGGCTGCGCCGGCACAGTGCTCGTACGTGGGAAGCCCTTTCTGCCCAAGCCAGCTGGCAGCAAGGCGCAGCAGACAGCGCGGGCTGCGAACGGCAGCGCCTCTCCTTCCCAGGGGCTTCGGTGCAAAGAAAAAGGGAGACATTTCCAGTGCTGGCCCCAGCTACACAGATGCACACACGTGGGCAAAGGCTAGCCACGGAGTTTCTGTGCCTCCCTCAAAACATGGCCTCTACGGAGTGAGATGCAAACCCATTTTTATAGACAAATCAATAAACACCTGTGAACAGCATCTCTTCGTCACAGGCGCAACGTGCTTATCTCACGTCCCAGAGATGAGCACTGTAAGCGAGCACTCAGGCAGCCCCTGCTGTTCTTGCTCCTCTTGCTCACTGGAGTGTGAAGCCTTTACCTCTTATCTCCAGCGACGCTTTGAGTTGGATGCAATTTCCACCTGATTATTAAGTTCTGTATTTTGTTTTACCATTTTGGGGCTTGGGCTTTTAAATTTTCCTGGAGATATCCTTGTGTTGTTGCAGGTAGCACTGATTTGAAGCTAATACCTGAGCACCCTCCTGCCAGAGATGCTTTTACACCTGAAGGAAAACTAACAGCACAAACTTCCCACTTCGCTCTGCAAAATCCCATCCTCTCTCCTTTCAACACATCCACACCTGCAGCAGCCCCCAGACAGCATCCAAGACAGCCCCCTCAAGAGGAGGTACCTGGCACATGGTTGGATTGACCGCATGGGCAGGAAAATCTTATCAGGAAGCACCCAGGAGCTTTGCACCCACGACAGCGTGCAGATATTCGGAATTGGAAAGGTACTCCTCTTGCTCACCCAAAGGCAGAGGCAGGTTTCGGGAGACACTGCTACACTGCTGTGGTTTGAGCTTCCAAGGAGCAGATAACACGGATGAGGTTGGACACTGCCCTGTATCCAGGGGGGAGGAGAAGCCCCAGGACCCGATGGGTCAGTTCATGTCACCTCAGGTTGATGAACCACGGCGGCCCAGGAAGGCTCACTGCCCTGTGAGTTGATGCCAAAACACCCTGCACGGACAGAGAGTCCTTCCCAGCTCTGGATCACCTGGGGGTCACAGAGCTGCTCCCCACACATGCCCTGCAAGCATGAAAAGGATGAATGCTGTGGGGCTGCTCCATGCTAACTCCCAGATGGGTTTTTTTTAAACATCAAGATTTAGTCCCCAGGGAGACGAAAGCGGCTTCCAGAAGGGACAGGTCCCAGCTGGGCTGATCCGGAGCATGTGAGAGCCTGCCAGGGTCAGAGGGAACAAGCTGGGCACAGCGAAGGAGCTTAAGCCAGGTCACCTCTTCTGCAGAGGAATGGGGTCTGTGGCTCAGGACACGAGGAGGGAGCCAAGATCTGCAATGAACAGCTTAACATGGCAGTTTCACTGCACCTGAAAGGAAAATTCCCAAGAGGGGCTCACGCTGAGACTGCATGGGACACTGCAGGCTCAGGAGGACGAGCCGGGGCTGGGACAGCCCATGAAGCCAGCACAGCTTCAGGTACTGAGGAGCAGGAGGGCCCAGCAAAGCTGCTGCCTTGCTGCCCTCCCCACATGGCCTTTTAGTGGCACTTTTAGCTAGCGTCCTCACCGGTGCTTCGACTCGGCAAGCGCTATGCCGCGGCGCGGAAAAAAGCAATGGATGCTGAGGCAGGCGGGAGCTAAGGCTGGCTGGCAGTGGCTGGGGGCCAGACCAGTGCCTGGCACTGGTGTTACTGGGAGCTGTGACGAAGCCCTCCTAACTTGTCGGCAGGTCAAACGACAAGAGAGGGGTTTTTTTTTTTCTTTTTTCTTAAAACAGCCTAGCTTGGAGTTTGGCTCGGTGCGGCTGGCAGACAGGACCGCAAAGAAAAATATTTCATGGCTAAAAAAATGGAGACAGAAAGACTGGTCCATCTGAATGCGCACTGAATGAATCCCATGTGAAATGCATTCTAACGCCATCGCTACAGTTTCCTCTGGATTAGCTGAGCTATCCTTGGCTCCCGGCTCCATAAAATCCCATAAACAATCTGATCTGAACTTTTGCCCTTTCTGTGCTGATGTGAGGCTTCCTCCACCGTCCCGTGGACAGGGCTGGGGGTTAGCAGGTGGCTGTCCCTCCCGTAGGTGCCTGCAGATCCCAGCTGTCCTGCTCGCCAGAGCTTCAGGAGGGAGCGTTTCCAAACCTGTTCAATGCCTCATTTAACATGTGCACATGCGAGAGGGAGGAGAGGGAGGGGCGGGACGACTTGCAAGCTCTGTAACATGCGTAAGCATCTTCTGCCGGCTCTTTCAATACCCAGACTTTGCCTATGAGTTATGGTCTTGGTGCGGGAGTTAGTGGGTGAAACTCTATAGCCTGCCTTATGCAAGAGGTCAGCCGGAGTGTACGGTTTTCAAAAGTACTCGCCTCTGAGTTTCAAACGTGATCGAGGCATGCCGGCTCCTAAATCCCACCAACTGCTGGGGAAATTGTAGGCTCCTGACATGCTCTTAAACACAGGACTTGGTGCTTTTCAAAGTATCTTAAAAGATGGCCACGGCTCCTGTAGGCAAATAGCCACCTGTGAAACCATCCAGCTGAAGAGGACTGATGACACCTCGATGGCAGCCCCAAACCCAAGCTACTGGGCCGTAACTCCTCTCACACAGCTCCTACAGATCCAAACAGCCGTTGGGACACAGGAAGAAGAGGTGCACATTCAGACCCTGGAATTGCTTTCGTAGCAGCATTACTATTTGCCTTCCTAATGTCTTGATAGCAACCTTGAAAAACTACTCACATCTTCAGCAAGTTGGTTGGTTAGTTGGTGGACAGTAAAGAAAAATTTTGGTTTCTCATGCCAAATCTCTGAAGAGTGAAGCAGGGCAAGTAAAATGCCTGTTTGGCTCCTTGTCTCCATGGCAATGCAGCCAGGCTATAGAGGAGCCAAAGAGTCCACTCTCTCTGATTAACTTGACAAATGACATTAGCTAAGCAAGGTTCGCTGAAAGGCAGAGACAAGGAGTACTTTGTTTGCAATCCAGTAAGTGCAGGAAGGAGGCAGGCAGCTTGGTTAAAGGGAAGCAACATTAAAACATCTGTTGTTCCACCAGTGTAACAGACCCGTAGGACTGAGAGCACATGGCAGTGACGTAGGGCGGAACAGAGGAGCATGGCT